ATTCACGTTGGCGAAGTTGCGAGCCATAGCTTGTAATTAATATTTTTTTAAAAAGACGAAGGAGCGATTGGATAAAAGAAGTGAGTTAGACTACGCATATGAAATTTATGGTCAAATACTGAAACGTAATTAAAATATGTAACAGCGTATTAAATGATAGGGCCACGTGTAAATTCCAAACTCCTTACAAAGACGACTATTAGATTGTTAGCTGCGCTTACGTAACGATGCATTTAAGTATCGTTTCAGTATTTGGCCGTTAGTTACTTCTTCATTCACTTGCGTATTTTCTTGTAATTATTAAGTAACTTTGTAGTAGTAAGGTTTCTATTTCATTTGTCACCTTAGAACATTGGAACAATAACGGACTTGGTTACGTAAATTCTTTAAGCTTTCTTTTAATTGCGATCAGTTAAATCGAAGCCATTTGGATCCTATAGATTATCAGTAATACTCTATTTCATGCTGGCATTAAAACGAAGCAGTAAATTCATGTTGTATTAAAAAAAAATTATATCTACTATTATTTGCGACTCAGAGCAGACACATACCTGAAACAATTGATATGCGATTGTCGATTGTTTCACAGCCTCAAATGTTTATTTGCAAAAAAAATCCAGCAGTGTCCGCACCTCCATATAAGCTCATAGAAATCAAAGCGAGACTAAAAAGTTATAAGATAGTACAGTCAAAGGTGTACGCTCTTATATCGCCTACAATACCTTTATTTACTCCAGAATAATCATAAATAACCAATATTTACTACCACTGAATACGAAGGTTTACCCCAAATGACAGAACGATAACTCATCAGCACTTTCCGGTGCCATTAATCATGACTGCGATGTCCCATTAGTCAAGTAGCAAGGATTATACCAGTAATGTGTGACATGAAATACTTTGTCTAAATAACATTTGGCACCTGCTTCTCATTTCGGCAATTATCATTATCTATACTATTATAATAAAGCGTAAACACACACTTCTTTGTTGCCTAAGATGTCAATCACAGCATATATTTGAATAATCCTTTTTTTAATAAAAAGCCCTATACTTACGTCACGCTTTAGGCTATATATTTTCACGCCATTGAACTTAGGGGGAAATATTTTGGGCAAAAACCCTAATGTGGGAAAGAGACCATAAATTGCTGCCAACATTAAGGAGGCAATTGTCATTTGTGCATTTGAATTTCATGCGGATGAAGCCGCACTGGAACAGCTAGTTAGGGAATAAATGCCAAACCCGTATCTTACGAATATTATATTTGTAAAAACCACGACAGTTTAAAGTTATGTAGTAGGCAAATTGATCTAAAATCCATAAAGTAAATCAACATTTAAATTAAAAAATATAGATTTGATATAAATAAACATGAAAGCAAAATTTGATAAAAATTCAATATCGCTTGGTCATGGCAACGACGTAATACAATTAAATTTAAGGATTTTGTGCTCCATTTTAGTATTTTGCGGTTCGAGCACTTTATATCTGCGGTATTGATCAAATTTGGCCGCGGAAATAATGCTCAAATTAATTGATTTTATAATAATACCATAATTCATTTCGGATCACCTGTGGTTGCCTTCAATATAAAAATGTTAATATCTTCAATGCAACATTTTTCCCAGTCTAATAGGGAATATGTTCAACTTATTAAAAAGGACTAAAAAACAAATCATTTTTATGAAACATAACGATATTATGTATGTACAAAGTCAAGTTACCTAAAGACCTTTACAAAATAAATCACAGACCCGAGTCACGTGTATACAAGACTAGCAGTTCCCGTGTGGCTTCATCCGCATGAAATTATAAAAACTTTCATTGTTTAAATTTCTCAAATGACTAAATTACCGTTACCATAATAATCTTGCTTCCTTAATGTTGGCAGCTTGTAGTTTATGGTCTCTTTCCTACATGAAGGTTTTTTTCCAATTTACCCCTTAAGTTTAATAGCGTGTAAATATATGTCCTAAAGCGTGTAAGTGTGGGGCTTTTTACTAAAGAACGAGTTATTTAAAAAAATGTTATGATTGCTGTATTTATTTACCCCTAAGTTTAATAACGTGTAAATATATAGTCTAAAGTGTGTCATAAGTTTAGAGCTTTTTATTAAAGAAATAATTAAAAAATATGCTGTGATAGCCGACATCTTACGCCACGAAGTAGTGTGGTAACGCTTTATTATATTAGTATAGATATTTATAATAATTACCTAATCCCACTCACCATATTTCTCTGGTAAGTTATCACTAAATTCAGATGACGCGGGACGCTGCTGTGACGAGACTAATCAGTCGGCTGCGGCAAATGATAATAACCGACAATTATCTAAAATGTATTCCAATTCTTACTGTATGGGGCGTATACCTCAGCCGAAACATAAATGGCAGTAATATTTCGTCCTGTTTTTTTGTCACAATTATAATTAGGCAGCTATTGCTCGACTTTGCCAGCGTGAAATTAAAAAAAATAGTATAAATGTAGTCTCTGTTACTCAGTGATAATATAGCTTTTTAACAGTGCATGATTTGTTGAAATCACTCCAGTAGTTTTTGAGTTATTTCAATATATATAAAAATACCGGTCTTTCCTCTTTATAATATTAGTATTGATTGTGGTTAAATGTTTGAATTTTTCAAATAGTAACGTTTTAAAGTTCAATTGTTTCTTATTTAATTCCACGATAGAATTTTAAACAAGCAAACATACGTTTATAAATAATTTTACATTCAATTTCGATTTAATATTCCCCAGCGTCGTTTCTTAAGTTCAAACTTTAGTGGAATACGGTACGGAAGTTACTGCTACTGTTGCATTATTTGTTGCAGTTTGTTGCGGTTTAGTTTGCATTCAGGCTAATGCCCTTCGGAGACTGTTTGCAAAATTAACTGCCTCGTACGACACCTCTGCCATAAAACTTGAACTGTATGAAACAACAAAAGGAAACAAAAGTCACATTTCTTCTTTTGTTTACTGCGATAAAACAGTAACTCGGATCAATTAAGTGACAATGTTACAAATTGAGTGTACCTCAAACTTAATGTCGAAGGATAAAACTAGATGGCGTTAGTTTCGTTTTGAAACTCGATGTTGTTTGTTTGGAATATTAAAAAATGTTTTTAAACAAAGCGTAAAATCACGTCTAATTTACATTCACCAAATATCATATTTCTGGGAAAATGAAATAAAGAATCTAAACTTAATATACGAAAAACGATATCGCTGTTAATATAATTCTATCCACCGTCGATTAAGTTAATGACGCATGAATGGAATAACAAAGTAATACGTCTGATTTTATTCACAATCGAATAATACATTTTCCGCAATGCATTAGGAAAAGGAATTTACTTGTATTCTCGATAAGAAATTGTTTGCGAAGTAAGCATGCATGGTAGCCATCAATAACCATTTACGCACGAACAATCAAATAAATTGTTTCATAATTGTTTTCCAGTAGTAAACCGCAAAAGCGAACAAATTTGTTATATAACCTTTGAGAAAAGTTTGAGCGTATTCAATTTATTATTAAACGCGTAATTGCAGAATAAATATTAGCTATTGTTTTATACGCCCTAGCGTTTGCTCGCGACTTTGTCTGCACGGAATAGATAAATTTAATAATAAAAACCTACGTTACTCAGGTACATAAAATTTCATCGAAATCCGTTCAGCCGTTTAGGCTACAAACTCTAACAAACGTCTATATAAACTATTATATTTATAATTTTAATGTTGCTATTTTTCTAACACTAATGACACAAAACAAAAGCAAACTGAAACCTATCCTTTACTAAAAAAAAACGTTTTGTATATATATATGCGTTTTACCAGTGGAAACGCACGTTTACAACTTCTAAACGGTTTAACACTTATAGGTCGTAAATCACATCTCACAGTTGATTCTAACAATCAAGACAGTTAAGAAATAACTCTCGACATTTGAAATAAGTTATACAAGACTAGCTGTTCCTGTGCGGCTTCATCCGCATGAAATAATGAAAATTTTATTTTATTGATTACATCTGCCAAATTATCAATAGCAAATGTCAAAATGACAAGACATGACAAACCTTAGCAATCCATTTTTCTTGATGTTGGCAGCAACTTATGGCCTCTTTCCCACATTGGGGTTTTTATCCAAAATATTTACCCTCCATGTTTAATGACGTGAAAATATATAGCCTAAAGCATGACGTAAGTGTAGGGCTTTTTATTAAAAAAAGAATTATTCCAATATATGCTGTAATTGCTGATATCTTAGGCAACAAAGAAGTGTGTGTTTACGCTTTATTATAATAGTATAGATAAAGAAACTCTCAGAAAAGAAAACTTTAAGTGATACAATTAAAATTAGTCAGCGTGTCTGAAATAATATTGCCTTTGTCTTATAAGTTGTACGACAGTCTTGAAACTATAAACTAAGAGTAAGTGGAAAGTACTAGAACTTAAGGCGATGTTACTGTTGCAATAAGACTAATGCTGTCGGAGAAATGTTTGAACAAAACGAGTCATTTCTTAAGTCGTACAAACTTTTGATTTTCTTGTTGACACTACGTTTATTGTTTTTAATTTCAATCTACTATAGATTAAAAATAATAACTAGATTTTACCCACGACTCCGTCTGCATGGAATTAAAATAAACAAAAGTAAGTAGCTTATGTGTTCTCCCAGACTGTTCTCTACATTATTCCAATTTTCATCGAAATCCGTTAAACCGTTGAGGCAACAAACTTTAACAAATATTCCTTCATCTATCCATCTATCTAAACTATCGCATTTATAATATTAGTATATAGTATGACAATTTTATACGTTACAAAGTTTATCTACAGTGAAAACTGGCGGTAAATAAACACTTTTAGAAACTTGAATATACAAATAAAGGAAAGCCAACTAAGGACTCTAAGTGCGGCATAGAGTACATAAAAGTATGTAAATATCTAATACAACGTTTATGAAAACTATTTATTAAAAAAATGTAAATCCAAAAGTTCAATACAATAAAACATAAAAATTTAATCAACTAAGATACAACATTTTTCGTTGAACTCACAATCGCGGGCTTCTTTAAATAATAGTTTTTCTGGACAGGTCACATCTTTATCCATACAAAGACCGCCTCTACGGTGACATCTATTCTCAGATAACGGCACTGTAAAGAAAACCATAAATATACCAAAAATAATATTCAAAATAAACTACTCCATTGAAATACCGATTGCAAAATTTCTCACAAGATTCATATCAAACCTTGATTCCTAGAATGTTTAAATTCAATCTTTGAAAGGATTAAATCTTTGCTTATGTTTGATAATTAAATTCAAAAGGACGACTTCAAAAAACTCTTAAAGCACGGGCTTTTATTATATTAACTAAATATAAAGATTAAATTAACTAAATACCTCCTCCTTTCCACCCTTTTCTTAAGAGGAAAGGATGGGAAGGAAAAGTGTATTTGACGGTGGAGGAGACCCTTAGGAAAATGTCCTTTTTATGTGCGTTTACTCCTCCGTTAATTAAGTATAGGCAACGCATCTGCAATTGCGGATGTTTATGGGCAGAGGTCGCTTTCCATTTCGGTGGTCGCTTGCTTGTTTGGCACCTTATATTATATAAAAAACCTACCTATTCATTTACCATAACATAAAGGGAAAATTTACAAGACCGTGGTAAGACCTGTCATGATTTCGTTGTGATGTCAAGACCCAGTGGTTGAGAAATTAAATAGTAAAAGGTTAGAACGGTATGGGCATAGAGAAGGGAGAAATCGCATTTAACAAGGAGGTTATCTATGAGTGTGGAGGTACATCAGTAGAGATAGACGTACATAGAGATAGATTGAATGAAAGGTGACATGAACAATAAAGGAGCGATTGAGATTATGTATGATAGAGTTATTTGGAGGATGAAAACCCGTTGCATCAACCAACGGGAATAGGTTAGGGTAGGGGAGATGATTTAGTTTATCATTAATCAGTATTGTTATTTAGAAGCTGTTAACTTACACGAATGACAGCATTCGATGTCCATTCTCTGCTGCAACGGACACAAGCCGCCGATAGATCTATGTCCGTTGGGACATTCAACAGCCGGGATGCAAATACCTCCAATACTCAAACATGGTATTTCATTGAATGTATCTGGAATAGATACGATAGAGTATAATAAAATAGATTTTATATGCTTTCAAAAGCGCAGCCTTGATTAGTTTATTAACTAATATTCTTAAACAATAAGATTACTGGTAAATATCTTTAGGTACCAATAAAAATTTGACAATGGTATGTCTATTAACAGCATGCGCACACCTGAAACGGAACTGTCGCACAACTGTTTAGTCTTGCTTTGATTCCTATGAGCTTAAATAGAGTTGCACTCACTACTCGATTTTCAGTCGTGCAACTAAATAGTTGAATTGGCTACGTAACAATCGACAATCGCACAACTGTCAATGGTGTGCGCCTCTAAATGTTTCTAGTATTAGGGATAACAAATATTCCATTAACAATAATTACTAACCGCTTTTATCATCCTTATTTGTAGATAAAACCGACGCACATGTTGTGGATATTATCACAAGAATTGAAACGCTGATAACCAACATTTTAAACACTAAAGTAAACACAACTGCGACCGCTTATATACTCAGTTGGGTTCTACTAACACATTTATACACTGAGCCCGCATCAGTACTATGCAAATTAACTTTTCAATTCGATAACAATTGTTTATTACACGGTTTTTTGCTATATAATTAATGTAGCTATCTTTTTGATATAATTTAGTCTTTATGACAACCAAAATAGGGGCCTTTATCATATTCTTCAATGATTTTCATTCAACTGCTCCAAGCGTAACATTTTTAACAATCTTTCACTACGAGAACAGGCTTTGGAGGAAATTTTAAAACAATCGACGATTAGTTAAATAAAAGACTAAAGAAGTAGTATCTACGTTTATTATTTAGATAAACTGTATTTAAAATAACATTAGTTACTTTACTTTGTGTAATAATCAGCAGCATTTTTCATTTATCGAACAATCCCCACCTTCAAAGAAAGTGATTTTTTCTTCACAATCTGAATATCGAGGAACGCATTTCCCTCCTTCTTTAGCACATGACTCACCTGTTACAGACCCTACAATAAAATAAACTACATCAAAACATAATCAACGGTCAAATTGAAATCAACTTTGAGCCACTAACATTAAAGTCTAATTTTAAATGGCAAAGCTTATACTGCAGAAGTAAATTTAAAAAGCAATACATACTTAAATCGCAACATTCAATGCCGTGCTGTTCTTGCATAGGACATAACCCTTTGACCAATGAACGTCTTTCTTCCGGACATGTATTGATGTTTAAACAATTACCACCGATTGCAAGACAAGGGAGTTCATTGTTGGTAGGACGTACGCCAACTGAAACATAAGAAATAAAGTTAATAAACAATAGATGCTTATAACGCTTGAAATTTAAGACAATCTAATTAAACAAAGAATCGAAGAGATAAGGTCAGACCTAAAATAATGGAAAGATTTGGTAGTCTGGGTGAGTGTCAAATTTCAGATCTGGATGTCAAGGATGGAATGATATAGAAGACATTGATAAAGATAGCCCCACTGAATCTAAACAGTCTTTTTTCTATTATTTCCGTTGTATCTCATAAATTAGTTAAATCAATAACATGTATAATCTTATTTCTTAATCTTACTGATGTTATCATATTAATGGCGAAAGTTTAGATGGATGGATGTTTGTTAGACTTTGTAGCCTAAAAGGTTATACGGATTTCGATGAAATTTTGCATAGATTTAGAGGATCGTCTGGAAGAACACACTACTACTACTACTTGCATTTGTTGTTTTTTAATTCCGCGCGGACGGAGTCGCGGGCAAAAGCTTGTAATGTTATAAATGCGAAAATTTACATGGATGTATGTTGGAGTTTGTAGCCTAAACAGTTGAACAGATGTCGATGAAATTTTGCATAGATCTAGAGGATAGTCTGGAAGAATACGTAGACTATTAACTTTTGTTTTCTTTTTTTAATTCAGTGAACAAGAAACGAGCAACTATTTGAATTAACTTGTATTTGATTATGAAACATCAGTCATGTTGCCTACACTAAAAGCACTCACAAATAAACATGTTTATAAAAGAAGCAAATACATACTTATATTTTGATTCTTTTCCACATTACCGTTTGTTTTCATTCCCTTTATTGAATAGGCAATCACTTGATACACAATAGCACAATACAATAATTTCTTGAACCACATTTTACATTTGTTATATCTTCACTAAACGCTATTGTAATGTGGCGTTCCGTGATAATGTTTTGTTTTTAATGTGAATATGATAAGACTTAAATACAGGCATTTCCTTTGTAGATTGAGGACTGGCAAGCGATTGTCGAAACATATATTGACTCTACCGAAAATTTTACTTTTAACACATTTCAATGCTTAAAATATACTTTCGTTAAAAAAAAGGAACTCACTAGTGTAATAAAGATTACGTAACAAAAAAAAAGAAAAGAAAAAAAACTGTGCAAAAAAGAGTACGGACCACGAGTCTGTAGAAGTTGTTATAAGAAGATCCCTTTCTCTTTACCACCATTTTTTTTAAGAGGAAGGGAAAGGGAAGTGGATTTGACGATGGAGGAGATGCATAGGAAGGGGAAATATTCTCTTTATGTGCGTCTCCTCCTCCGTCGGATAAGGGTAGACAACGCATCTGCAATTGCGGATGTCTATGGGCAGCGGTCGCTTCGCCATTTTGGCGGGAAAATATATAAAAAAAAATATACTTTCGTTACCAACTTATCTTCTTCCATAATAGAAGAATTTAAGGCTGTCTCAGATTTGTGAATGTAAATATGCTGGTTATCTTCGGCTACTTTTTTTTATTTTTTTGGGCGGCTCTTCGCCGCCCCGTTCTCCTCGTCGTTCTCCCCCTGGCGTGGTGAATCCAAGGACTTTGTTTACTTTATTTTATTTCAAAAACATTTTTATTAATTTAATACAATCATTACTACATTTTAAAATTTTTACCTATTTACAATTAAAGAACATTAAAAAAAAGCAATAAGTTACTATTACTACTAGGACTAGATTATAATTATGACTACATTTTAAAATATATACCTATGTACAGTTCTTAAAATATGTCCAGTATTCGGTTTTTACACTTTGTTTCTTTTTATCACTTTCTTCGCTATCTCTTTACTAAAATTTACAAAAATATCTCTTGTTTTCTTGTTGTTTATTAGTTCATTCAAGTTTTCTAACACTCTTTTTTCTTTCATCTTAGTTTCTACTTGTCTTCGGCTACTTAGGTTATGCGAAATTGAGAGATGACGAAAAAAAAATTAGTGTAAATTACTAACTGAAGTCGCAATTATTTAATATTTTGCTGGTGTTTTTTTTTTGAGTTTCTCCAATCATGAATTTAATACATTTGTACATTAGTGAACATTATTTTTTTGTTGACTAAAATCCGTTGACAAAATTACTTAATGTTTTGAAGCATATTCCCCTTTGCGATCTGTACAATTTATCTTTCATCAGCTGTATTTTAACGACAAATGAATGGCTTTAGAAGTTTTATTAAAATAGCAACCGCTAACGGATGGAAACATTAAAATAATATCTGCTTTTACAGCGCCGGCTGGCGCAAGGCCAAATGTCTCTGACTTTAACATTACAATGTTAACTAGTACTTTTAATTGTTATTCCAGCCGTTTGTAATGATATTACATTTAAAACTGTCGGTTTATCATGCTCATATATCTCACGTAATTAGCTCTACGTGCATTCAAAGAGCTCAATTTTTTGTTTGTGGGACATTTTTATCATTTTAACGTACGGCAGTAAAGTGCACTTTACTTCTTTTACACCGGAAATGTAATAAAAAGCTTGTGAAAGAATCTAAAATAGAAATGTAACTAACTACTCAGAAACTAGTTTAAAAACTAAAAAAATCTCTTGTTATTAATTTAATATAGATGGCGTTGTAATTAATAAACAATTTAATTAGATGGCGCTGTTTATGAACGATTCGAAACTTTTACTGTTGCATTGATACATGAAAAAAGAATTCCTCTTATCAGTTTTTAAAAACAAAAGTGAGATCAAAAAACCAGTTAACCACTATTACGTTAAATAATAAAAACTACGAGAAGATATACGAACATAATCCGAGCAGGTCTCTCCCAGAAGCACATTAGTCCTTCTTAACCACTAAATAAAATAAATACGTATAAAGCTCTGAGCTAGCTTGCTATAAACACTGGCGATTTTTTCACATTTCGAAATCCAGTATTATATTCACTAAATAACGTGTTAGTAATATTTTCTTTTTAATGTACTGAGTCTTAAAATTAAACTAGATAAAGGCTTGTCCCACCAAATTGTAAATTGTTTGACTACAATCCATCGTGTAAAACATGTAATGGAAATATCGGATTTTGTGCCCTTATTCGACAATGACGTCATTTTTAATCTATCTGATCACGTCAGCGGTGGGACAGGCTCTAAAACTACTACTTTCGATACAACGAAACAAAACCATTTTTCTCAACATGTTTAAGACTACCTGTTGCTCACGACTTCGTCAGCGTGCTATTTAAAAAAAATCTTACAGATAAATTTCCTTTGGAACGATGGAGGAGTTGTTTGGAACGGTTGCTGCCGCCTAGTTTCGTCATCGGACGACACGACAGACCGCCAGGTACCGTCCTCACCATCTCGATGGCTGGCATTCCACAACCGTGCGGTTTTCGCGGAACTTTCTGCCCCGCACAGCCGCGTTGTGTAACGGTCTGTCCTCGGCGGTATTTCCAAACCAATACGACTTAGGGTCCATCAAGAAGCGAGCCTATCATTTCCTCAAAGGCCGGCAACGCATCTGTAGTTCCTCTGATATTGCGGATGTCCATGGGCGTCGTTGACCACCTTGGTGTTCAAGCAGCTCGTTTACCCCCTTTTATTATAAAAAAATGAAGATTTTTTAAATCGCCCTAGTAGTTTTTGAGTTATCACAATACACAGAAAAATTCAAAAATACAAATCTTTCCTCTTTACAAATATAGATAACATGATTTAGAAATGGAAATTATACTAGTAATGAACAATCATACAATCTCCCAATAGACCGTAATGAATCGCAGAAACGCTGGCTAAATGTATCGCCGTCTATTTCAATGAGCGGCCGGCAGAGGGCAGCAGGCTGTTAATTAGCGATACGTGACACGTGACACACACAGATTTCTGTCCATTAACTCAACAATAAATAACTATTATACAAAACGTAATTGCAGCAATATTTACGACGCGAAATTGGACTTTATTGCCTCTACGTTAGCGGCGCTTTAAATTGCATTTTACTTTTAAATTTTATAACGTATGTTATTGTTGTTTAAATGTTTTATATATTATGAAAATTACAAGATAATAAACAGATTGTTTTACATTTAGGACTAAAATTGTAATAACAGTATAGAAAGATTTTTTTTAATTCGCCCAGTGGTATTTAAGTTATTTCAATACTTACAAAAATGTAAATAAAAATCTTTCCTCTTTATAAAATTACTAGCTGTTCCCAAGCGACTTCATCCGCATAAAATTGCAAATGTCAAAATGACATGACATGATGTCAATCCATGGAAACCTTGATTTCTTGATGTTGGCAACAACTTGTGGTCTCTTTCCCACACTAGGGTTTTTATCCAAAATATTTACCCCTAAGTTTAACGGCGTGGAAATATGTAGTCTTAAGCGTAATGTAAGTATAGGGCTTTTTCTTAAAGAAAGAATTATTCAAAAATATGCTGTAATTGCTGACATCTTAGGCAACAAAGAAGTGTGTGTTCACGCTTTATTATAATAGTATAGATGTATGGATAAATATAAGTTAATTGTATACATTTCAGTATACTTAAATTCAACCTTTACAGTAACCTGTTCGAAGCATGTATCGTCATTTGTAGGAGGAAACGTCCTGCTTCGGACGTAAGTGTTATTGTTGGTCTGTTGTAGCCAACTAAATACATCAGCATGCAAACGGCCAATAATACTTGGCTCATCAAACTTGAGATGTTCTACAAGATTACGTAGAACATCAGCTTCAAGTACAGTGCTGCTCAAAAGTGTTTTAGATATTTTATTTATGTTTTTACTTTACATTTATTGTTTCTTAGTATTAATTGATCCTATTAATCTTAGTATTAATTAATTACTAATGTTATAAAGAGGAATAATTTGGATTTTTCGATTTTTGTATGTGTTCAAAAAACTCAAAAACTACTGGGCTGATTTCAAAGATTCTTTCAATATTAAAAAGCTATATTATCAGTGAGTAATATAGGCTTATTTATTTTAATTTCGGGCAAACGAATCGGGAGCAACAGTATTTTAGGTTTATCAACACAAAATTTGTTGATATTAGAAATAAAGAATATTTATTTTAATAACGCTAGAGTAGCGGTATTTATAACAAAGTTTGTTTTTTAATTGGAGTAAAAATGTTTTACAAACTACAAGCAAAAGGAAATTTTTAACAAAAGTTTCCAGACTCATGAAACACTTTTGCTTGTTACTGTACATTTACTAAAGTTAGTTTGTGAAATGATTTCATACTCGCTTTCGCCCGCGACTCCGTCCGCGTGGTACTAAAGACTCAGAAGTAAGTAGCCTATGTGTTCTTCCGTACTCTGCTCTACATCTATGCCAAATTTCATCCAGATTCGTTCAGCCGTTTAAGCTACAGACTCTAACAAACATCCATCCATCTAAACTTTCGCATTTATAATATTAGTTAGATTAACAATGGAATCAGCATTAGCTGTAATATACCTGAAAGGTATTTTTGGGTAAATAAGTGAATAACAACAGCTCCTTAACAATTCAACAAAACATAATCACTTTATGAGCTTGTTCATTAAAATAAATTATCTCAATTATATTTCTTTTACGCGAGTCTAACGCCTGTTATATTAAGGGGAAACATTATAAAATAAACTAAATGTAATGATGCAAGGTTTATGTTTTGTTTAATATTTTTTACTTATACACATTGTATTACTTTCACCCGCAACGTCGTCTGCATTGATTAAAAAAAAAAAAGAAAATAGCCTATGTATTCTTCCACACTATCCTATACATTTATACTAAATTTGATCGAAATCGGTTCAGCTGTTTATGCTACAAACTCTAACAAACATCCATCCATCTAAACTTTAGCATTTATAATATTAGTAAGATTGTAAAGCCTGCTACAAACTATGCTAACTAAACAGTTCGACTGTTGAGTTTATACATTCGGAATTGATCGTCT